TTATATAATACATGTGAAGTATACAGGGAGAGTATTAATATAATTATATAATATAATATAATAAATATATATGTATATTAAATAATAATAATAATAATAATTAAATATAATATATTATTAAATCGATTTGATGTTTTATGGATTTGAAGGTACAACACAATTCTCAAGCATTCAACACCCCCTATTAAAGGGGTGTCATTAGCACTCCCCATAACAAATATATGAACAAATAGGGACATATTACCAATTCCTTTCCACTTTTCAAGCTAAGCATTCAGCTATTCATATCACATACCTTTGAACCAATCAGGTTTCATATAAAGCCATTTTTAAACCTTTTCTAATCAACAAGGTTAATTTAAAGTTTCAGGCCAAACCTGATATTTTCTCCTCAATAACATCCAGACTATGATTTCCAATAAGAACTTTGATCCTAAATCTTTAAATCACAAAGAAAATAAAGATTCCAGACTACGGTAGTCTTAAGGGATATAATAGAAATAGTTATATCATATAACACACATACAAATGTCACCCTTATATCCAAATGTACACATCTCCTTGACATGCCACCCTTATCCCATGGTACATCTCTCCTTGATATGTTACTCTTATCCCATGGTACACCTCTCCTTGATATGTCACCCTTATTTCCTCATCAAAACATTTTACAAAAACAATTCCAAATAGACCGCAGTCAATGGAATTATTATCAATCCAAAATCATTTATAACAAATTTTTCATTTTATGATAAAATAACAATTTTATCAATCAAGCACAAGGCATAGTACAAATCCGGTCAACATAGACTTGGCCGGACTTCATCTCCGGTCAAGTCTTGGCCGGTTTACCAAATCCGGACAACAAATCGCCCTAAGGCTTGTCCGATTTAACACTTAGAATAAATTCCAACACCTTTTGTCCGGATAACAAATCCGGACAACATATCGTCCAAAGCTTGACCGATTTAAAATAATCCAGTCACCATATGGTCGTATTCATACTTCTCCGTTCAAAATGTTTACCATACTTAACATTCATAAATCGCTCAATGCTTGACCGGTTTAAAACTAAACCGTTTAACGCTTGTCCGGTTTAGGGCTTAATCGTCCAACCCTTGTCCGATTTAAGAATAATCCGGACAAGTTTTGTCCGATTTAGACTTAATCCGGTCACTCTTTGTCCGGATAAAACCCTTAAGCAAATAACTGATTTTTTCCAATTAATATGCAACATTCAATAAAACTAGTAACAAATTTTATGCAAAAAAGGTTAGAAAATCACTCACCTTATCAAGTCTTTTGAAAACAACCTTCTTGTAATACAAAAGTAAGAAAATCCGGGCAAGCTTTTCCTTCTAAATCGCTCAAATTATTAGAATAGCCAAGAAGATAAAATGGGGGGTCAAACCCTCCTTTTATACCTTTCCTTAACAGGAACGTCGGCCACATGCACACACACACACCATGCATTCTCATAACATGCATGTGTGTATATCTATATATATATATATATATATAGAGAGAGAGAGAGAGAGAGAGAGGTTGGTTCAAATACTAACCCATTTTTTTGTGTTAACTATGCTAACCAACATCA